GTTATATTTACATAAAAAATATATTTTGAAACGAAAAAAAGCTGTTTATGGAATATATAAAAATTCTAAAACACATAGCAAATTATTTTGCAGCTATACATCTGCTTTCTAGTAGCTTCGAAAGCTCTTCCTCCATTCATTAACAAAACCAAGTAGCAATATTCTCAAAGACCGCTGTAAGGTAAAACATTAAGTTTGAACCAATGTCAGTCTTTCGGTTAAGAGTAATAAATTTACTGCCTATATATCTATTTCATTTCGACATCATTTCTTATTATCATTTCGATATCATCATCGTATTCACTAGCCATAGCCTAATATCGGTTAGTCGAAATACTGGTATAGAAAAAGTTGCGACTAGATATGCTTTACTGAAATATGCTTAACTACTTCTACCCGAGATACTTTCATATTTTTTAAAAATAGTCCTTATCACTTCCTCATGTTTTATTTGTGTGGCACATTGATAAACTGATCAGATATTCCATCTTCAAGTAAGATTAATCAATAAAGACGAAAGACAGCTTTATAAACAATACAGCGAGTAGAAGGTATAAAAGTAATTTTGCTTAACTACTATCATTACGATTCAATAGTGCTCAGAAAAAATCAAACACTGAATACATGCTGTTTGTTGAAAATGTCATGTGACACTCTGACTATAACTCTGTCCATAGTTTATGATCCATCATTACCCCGTCACAGGTTTTTGATTTTATGCGTAGTTGCCTCATCTTGGTGAAAGTCCAGATTCATTGACCCTGTTCCAGCTTTTATAATGGTCACTATAATTTACAAACTCATGCATACTTTTGACAACACTGGTAACAGCTTCTCGGACAATGGAGCCATCTTGTTCGACGATACCTACTTTAAAAAAGCAGCGGCGCAACTGACCGCGCTAAAAAACGAATACATGGTCATTACACAAAGTTAGGCAAACACCAAGGTAAGCTCGCCAGAATAGCGTATTCGCACTATGAGAAAAAAGCTTCATCTGTCAACATTTAGTACATTTAAGTGGCATTAAAAAACTTAATTTACATAAGTTGGTCGAAATTTGCGACAAATATCTATGTTCATTAAATACGCAAGTGCCATTTACAGGTAGACCTCAAAAACTTAAGGAACGGCAGTGACACTATATCACTTGTCAATGAATGAAGTTTATGAATTAATGAACATATGAGAAGCAGATAACCTAGGAATATAATCCATATATACTCTTAGGCACAACATCTCACCCACAGTTAACGAGGGAAGCGGCCACAAACGAAACAGAGGACACAATGATCGGATGAAAAGTGCTGGAATATATGCTCCTTAGCTTCCTTAAGAGACGTCAGTTGTTGAGGACCTCAGCCTTAATAGGGCAAAGTATATTACGTGGCAACTGAAAACCGTGTGTAATCCTTTTTTATACGCAGTCCCTGGGTTTTGATGTCAGCTGTATTCGCAGCTTCACAGCAATTTTATTATAAAGTAATGACTACTGCATCGCACAAGGAAATGCTGGCCGAAAGCACTTTGGCCTGTACTTCGTTTTTACAGATTACTTGTTGTTCTCTTAACCGGCATCTACTGTGCTTCGGCTATTCGGAAGTATTCAGTATATTTACTTGTCTCTAA